AACATAATACTATAGAAGATAAATTAAAAATCCTAATTACTCTTCCGGAAAAAATAGTACCGCAAATTACTCGTTTTCTCGTTTTAACACCAACCGATGTTTTATGCATGTTAGCATTAAAAAGCGTATAATTTATATTAAATCTTTTCTTTTATGAAATTAAAACCGTTATATGGCGTGCTAAAATAACCAACAAAAAAATAAGATAAACAGAGGGGCTAACAAATGTATTTAATACTAATGATTTATTATCAGCAAACGCGTTATATAGTGACTCAACATTTTTATTCGTGTTAATTTTTCATAATATTACTTCAGTATATACTGAAATAAGTATCAGAAAATATCAGGATAATCATTTGCTATTCACAAATGTATGAATAAAAACATACGTACACATTTGGTGAGATAAATAATAATGTTTTTGAAAATATGTTTCACACACAAGAACATACGCGCTCGCACACACATCCACATATTTTCTGATACGTTATAAAATATGTAGAGCTACCGTGAATAGTGTTTCCACTGCGTATTTGAAGGCGTCAAGTTTATTTTTTTCAAAAATCTATTAAATTATACACAAATGTGATATAAATATAAATACAGTCTTGTTTTATTTACAAAAGAGAAACTATACTACATTACTCACCAAACTATATTTCATCGAAAACTGTCGTATATTACACGTACGTGATATCTGGCCATAATCCACCAGTAGCTTTAAACTTCGAAGGACCGAAATCCTCATCTTTACACCAAATCAAACCGTTGTGCTCGATACATCAAATAAAAGCAATAATTTATAAACATTTATATTTATTGCGTTTGATTTCGGGATGGCTTCGAAAAATATTACTCGCTGTCATACAAAAACATATATATAAAACTTAAATGTTTAGCTCGTTCAGAAGAGGCGCGTGCATCGGTGATTTACGATTGTGTACGCTTTTTACCTGGCACTTAAAAACATTACGATTACGTGCAAAAATGAGTGAATCGTTGCCAAGACTACATCAAAAGATTTTGGATATCTAGGAAAGTTTTTTCGCCTTGCCATTTACATGGCTTTTTGAACAGACGAAATATACTTATCTACAATACTTGTACCTAAATGTATAAGTAATTCTTTACAAAATGTATCAAATATATAAGCGATAATTTTATAAAATAAGTTATTTTAAAAATGTTCACGGCTGGGAACAACGATAAAATTGCCCTAAATTTGGGTAGGTAGACCGTATGCAATCATAACAGTGAAAAATATCCATACGCAATCGCAATCATAATCATTTGTGTACAAAAAGCAAGTAAACTGCACAAATCATATGTAGTACACGCCTCTTATTTTCAGTAATTTATTTGAAGAACGCACACAGGAATGGGCGTGCGCTATTTTCCATGACTGTCAACACAATGCATGTATCGCCTCGTCTAATTGTCATCAACATTGCACCTTTACACGTGCCGGTACAACGGCGCTTCTAAAATCCAGTCACACACGACTCAGATTTAATTGGCTCCCCCTAAACACGTGTTTCATAAACTAATTTATCATAGAACAGACGCAATATCATAAATATCTGTCTGCTTAAAAGACGGAAGCCTAACAAGTGTTCCGTTTCAATACGAGCCGGTCGCTCTGCGTAACCGTAGGAGAAAGTTTTCAGCCAGACCACGTGCGGATCGTTCATGGTTTCGTCTTACACATGGTCTGCCGGCTGCCACCGCTTTCTGATTGTTACCGATATTATCATTCCGGCGCAGAAACACACCCGAGGGGAATAAAAATAATAACAACCATAATATTACACCGAGTGACTGTGTCTACGCAAACAACGACCGACGAACACGCGAAATCGATACAAAGCAACGATAATCATGATCATAATACCAACGGTGATAATTTTATTTCGTATACGGCTGTTTCCGACCGAGTAACGATGTCGTTATTATTACGTATAAAATTCGCGTGTGCGCGGCACTGCTTGTCCGGTGTAAAGTTTACGTTTTCGATTGCGTTTATTGTTTTCGCATTCGACAGAATAATAATCGTATATGTCTTCCTTGAAGCAACCGTAAGACCATAAAACTAACCGCCAGCACCACCTACGTTATTACTATGAAAATTATTATTATTATTGCTGTTCGTAGTACGTGCTCGCGCGTTCGTTATCGGATATTCAACGCACGAACGTAGCTAAATTGCCTATGCGTTACGCCGTGTTACTGCATAAAATCGACCAACAATCACGGTTTTTTGAGTTCTGTTTGAAAAGACGGCGGACGAATGTTTTATCATCATCATCGTCGTCATCGTCATTGTTATTGCCATCGTTAACAAGCAACCGCGAGCTCAATTGATCCCGTGGCTGCCACCGTTAGTTTAGGATAACATTTTCCCTCCGCACTTGTCGACTCGAAGCTTAAAACGGCAAAAAAAAAAAGTAGAGGAAAGACAACGATCCCTAGTGCGTTTTAAGCGTCCCACGTACGTATCCGTACAACAACTGATCATAGGCATAGTATATATTTATTCATATTATCACGCATAATATTAAGTGTCGGATAATTAATAGAAAATGCTCAAGTTTGTTAATATTTGTAAGACACTGGTCCTCGAAACTATCGGTTACGGTTGTTGTTAACGTGATATATTCGTAGTGGTGAAATAGATAAAATTTTATTTTTATTTTTTTTAAATTCTATTATAAATTTATAACAAATTATTAATCATTTATGTGGATGATTATTAGTAGCTAGACAGTTTTAGTGCGTTCTAGTGAACTATTCGGAGAAATGCATAAAAGCTTCGTGAGAGGGAGGGGCACTCCCCGCACTTCAAGCCCTATATCTCATTCTCGTCGCACCGCCTTTTCCGAGTCAGAATATCGTATTATTATCCAGCCGGGACTGGAAAGCGGAAAAGTAGGCGTCCGTTTTTATCGTAAATAATATGTTTTCGTCTTGAAAACGAGTTTCGCATGCACCGCGAGGGCAAATGTTTAATAATTATAATAATAATATGTTATATATTGCTTGGCGGCGTCATCACGCGATGCTAAAACCGTTTTGATAATGATTGACGTCCATATATCTACGAGAGAATGTCGATTTATAATAATAGTGCATTGTACCAAAGTCGCAACACTAATCACCTAAATAATTTAGAAAGCCATATACGTACGATATTTCATGTATACCACGTTTCGGTTTTAATTATTAAAACCGAAACGTGGTGTACATAAAATATTGTACGTATATGGCTTTCTATACTACTACAGTGGCACCGATCCCTATGTGAAGGTATTGCGAATGCAAATTTAAGTAGGTAGTCCCATGGTGAATAAAGGTACACTGGTACTAGGATGTACAGGTTATAGTGATTCGGATTTAGGATATAAGACTGTTTCAACATTACAGTTATAATTCAATATACTCAAAATTTATTGCAGTAATACACAGATTTTATTTTTATGCAATACCATATTTCGAACGTGTAGCTTTATAATCCTAATAAACTATATTATATCAAATGCAATGTATGTTCTCTCGACACATTCAAACTTTTGTATACAAATATATTACATCGTAATGTGTACACGCGCACGCATTGAAATCGCAATTTTTGGCTATTGATAACGAAGTTGTTTGCAGTAAACGAAAAAATTTGTAAAGTGTACTACGCGTTACCGGAATCCATCCATCACTCGTCTATATTATCAAATTGAGTACGATTGTTCGCACCACAATCAAATAAATTATACTTCAGAGGCGTAGCGGCCGAGCGAGATGAAGCTACTGTATCCGAATGCATGGTCGCCGGATCGAACCCCTTGGTCACCAGTGGTTTAGCTGCCGGCCGTCCCGTGAAAAGAAAACCGCTACCGACCCTATATCTAACCCATCACCGACCGAATAAATAAAACCCACTAAATACTCGCCTATCATGTCGAAATCCGCACGAAGGGCTTTTGTTGTCGAAGATACACTTCGCGCCCGTAGGATATTAGATTTAATTTAGGTTTGTTCGACGTTCGAAAATTAAACGTCATCCCATAAATATTTATGATTGAATTCGTACTAGCACACAGTCCTACGGAATAAATAAGTATTGTCTGCAAACAAATAATAAAAATAGTTATCAATCGTACGGAGTAATAACCATCAGGCATTAAACGAAATAATTATGTATTGAAATTGTAATTTTTCGCGAATGCGACGTATTGATTTACAAAGTTGCCTTATTCTATTCCACGAATAATATAAAAATCGGAATGTCAATTAAAATTATAATTTTAATATTACGTAATATTAAACACAATGTTACCCCGCGGATTGTTGATACGTTAAAACGTTTCGGTTAACTGCGTACTGCAGTTTCTCATTCGGTTCGAATAGTTGTATAACTAGTCAAACGCAATCAAAAAAAATACCGTTTAAGAACCGATAACTCACTAATGCTAAAAATGTTACACGCAATACTTAGCTTATAATAAACACAAGTAGTCAATTGAAGCTATGAAATAAAGTCTTCGAATGTTCGGCGGTACAAAAGAGAAAATATATTTCGGCTATGAACGAAACAAAAAAAAAAAAAAAAAAAACAATGGAAATATTGTAGATCATTACATTGTATCACGTATATTACAGAATCGTAAACATGTCAGATATAATTTTTTTAAAACAATACATTAGCTAATTCACTAATTAGTGCATTAACTTGGCATCCACGCTGTTAGGTGTATAACCGCTGTATGCAGTGTGTAATTATTGAGCTGAAGACTTCAAAACAATAAAATACTTAGTATAATAAAACATTTGGTGTGATTTTCTTTTCGCGTTCGTCCGCCGTCGTATTATTCGCACAATATGACATCGTAGAACGTCCGCGGACACACGTCGTCTAGACGCTCACGAGTTCTATTCGCATGACATGTTCACGCGTATTATGTAGAAATATAAGCGATGAGTTTTTATTTATTTATTTTTTTCCGCAGAATGGCATCTGGGACTGGTTATATGCAAGCTCGTACCGTATTTTCAAGGGGTGTCGGTGAACGCTTCGATAAACACGTTGATGGCGATTTCCGTGGAAAGATGCTTGTCCATTTGTTATCCGATGAGCCCGGTGGGTAAAGGCGTCTGCAAACGAGTGGTCGTCATCATATGGATCGTATCGCTCACCATCACCATGCCATGGGCCATATACTTCGACTTGCAGCCAATGGAGGAAGGCAGCGACAATCAGGTATATGATTGATGGTATTGCTGTTATCGCACTGCACGGATTTCAGTCCACGCGGCGTATTTACGTCCAGAATTTTCATATTATTGTATTATAAATTCGCGATTACGATCTGCGAACACTTTTAACACGATTTTTGCGTGTTTTTCGTCCATTAAAAAGGTAAACACTTGTGCGCTGACAGAAATATCGATTTAACGATTAAATGAAAAGAATATTACATTCACGTTCATATTGTAATACATCTATAAAATGGGTACTAAAAATATATTTATAGACGATGTTACATTAGCCTAAGCGTAAATTTATGATTCTATATATTTTCTGCGTTAAAACATAGATTTCAAAGAAAACGGTAGTAAACTATAGAGGCAGTTTATCGTAAAAATGTAACATTTCATACGTTCGTTAAAACGAGCTCTTCTTGACACGGTCACCCACAAAATGTAATAAAGCCAAATACAGGTTTACGTTCTATGCACGAAGTTCAGAAATTTTTTTAAATCTGATTATATCCACAACGATGATCTGAAAATCGTTAAAACTATAATTTCACTGCACAGTCAAAAATACACTGTACATCAAGTATATATCTCAATATGTTTTATAGGGATACTTATATTTTAAATCGTTTTGAAATGTATCATAATTAAACACCTACTTGATAACCACTCGTCAGAAATGTACATATACTTGTACTTTCGAATTTACATTACCTGTTTAGTAGACTGCACCGTGTATATTTGCATTCTTATTATACTATTCTTTGTTTCTATAAATTTCTAAGTATAAACTGATATTTATTATAATGTATACATACAACCTCACTTAATACTCTAATACTCGTAGCCATTTTATAAACTTATATTCAGATCAACCCTAATGTAAAATGTATAAAGGACAACATGTCTATGATATACGACTGCAACATTTCAAAAGGATTTTATATTAAAGTTACATCTGAAAGTATTAAATCCATAAATATATAATTTCTACATTCGGCATATACATACAAAAACTTCAAATGTAATTATTTTGTATGTTATCATGTATTATTTAATAACCTTTCAATTTTATGAATTTTTACAATTTTTAAAAGTATAACATAAGTAAAAATTTTATAATTATTTTATTCATCTTGGGTAAATTACAGTATTATTAACCATGATTAAATTAAGTTAAAATATATTTATTCCATAAAATCTAAATAATGCACTAGATATTTTTTATTAACAATAATTTTGTTACAAATGATACTTTATACGAAAAATAAAAAAAAAAAAATAAAAAATTGCTTTGCGTTTAACATTACTACTGTTTAATAAAATAGTATGAGTACCAACTTAAAATTTGATTTTATAAAAATTAACTTTAAAATCAATAATCCTCGACGACTCGAACTTTCGTTGAAAAGCACACGAACAAATGTTTTTAACAGTGCGCTCGCGTGTTTTCGTAGCTCAATCGCAGACGGCAATATTCGTGTGTTCGAAATTTAAACATTCATAACGTGAGATGATGTAACTGGTTAGTTCGTAAATGTGTTACGATCGGATCTCGTTGGGCCGCGGTTCAGGATGTAAAGTCAAAACGTTAAACATCGCGACGTAGGTTTGTTGGGGGGGGAGGGATAAAAGGTTTACGCCGGTGTGTGCCGGGAGCGATCCTGAACACACCGCGCACAGAGCAGTACACTGGTTAGAGCCGGGGTGATGTAACGGCTGCGCACGTGTTGCAGATATGCCTGGAGTCGTGGCCGAGTGCGGAGATCGGCAACCTGTACTTCGTGCTGGCCAACCTAGTGCTGTGCTACGTGCTGCCGCTGCTGGTGATCGCGGTGTGCTACATGTTCATCTGGAAGAAGGTGAGCCGCAGGAAGGTGCCGGGCGAGCCGATGCACAACGGCGCCAGCCTGGTGCAGCGGTCCAAGATGAAGGTGATCACGATGATCATGTACGTGGTGGTGCTGTTCGCGGTCTCGTGGCTGCCGCTGTACGCCGCGTTCTCGCTGATCAAGTTCTGGCCGCTGCCGCCCGCCGTCGAGCAGTACACGATCGCCTCGCTGCCGGTCGCCCAGTGGCTGGGCGCGGCCAACTCGTCCATCAACCCGCTGCTGTACGCCATATTCAACCACCGGTTCCGGGACGGTTACAAGGCGCTGCTGTCCGGCAACGTGTGCCGGGCGTTCGACTACAGCAGCTCGGTCAAGTACTTCAGCAGCCGGGCCGGCACCGCGTTCAAGCGCAACAACAACCGCAAGAAGCCGGACATGCGCAAGACCATCGGCGCCATCTACGCGCACGTGGACGCCAACGGCGGCAGGCAGGCGCCCGCGGCTTCCGGCGGTGGCGGCCCGGCCGTAGGGCCGAGCCCGAAACCCAGGTCGGTGTCCATGAAGGACGCCGCGGCCGCGCACCGCGCCCACGAGGACTACGCCGACTCCGTGGTGCACTTTTGCTCCGGTCCGTACGCCAACTCGTTCGTGTGATGCCTCGTCAGTCGTCGTCAATCGTCCACCGTCGTTAGAAGCGCGCGTGCGGTCGGAATCCGAGTAGCCCAGCTTGTCTGTACGGTTTAACAGCAACGATAATAGTAATAGTAATGATAATGTTTTGTTGTTGTTTCGACGGTCGACGATGATATATCGTTACGATTGTTGCGCAACGCCGTACGTAACACCGTTTAGGGTGTACGTGGAGTTCGGCCGTTCGAACCGAACGGCGCACGCATTGCCCACGTCTTCCGACGGTGGTCGCGGGTCTTCGGAGTCCCCCACAAGTTTCCGACCATTTATTTCTATCGGTCCCGTCGATTTGTCTGAACGCCGCAAAACGTAGACGAGCTGTGGCACCAAGAGCATAACCTAGAGGGGTGGGATTATACTGTCCCCCCAGGGGCGGAACTAGGGGATATAAGATAGGGATTCGTGCTCAGGCGTAAAATTGTAGAGGTGTAGTTTTTGTAATTATCAACAACTCATTCAATATTTATAACTTCGTTAAATACCGATATTAGGTTAAAACTCAATTAGTATTATTTTATATAAATTGTTAGAAAAAAAATTCTCGAGAAGACTATTTGATCTATGGTAGAGCGTAATTTTAACATTTTCTTCGGGCATAAAAGTTCCTAGTTCCACCTCTGGTCCACCCCCCACCCAACGGTCAGTCTGTAGCTAACAAATATACTGGTTTTAAGTCAACCCACAACGGCCAATATTTAAACTACTTATAACTTATCAAAGTCTTGTTTTTATTATTTTAATGATCATTTCCTGCTTAATGACATGACGTTTTTTTGTGAATTCACCTCGTAGGATATAATTAACCATCGTGAAATAAGATAAAATATGTAAAAATTAAAAAGTTCAAATGTAATTATTAAATAACACATGTTTTGATAACTGATTCCCGTCCCCCTCTGATGAAATTTCTAACTACGCTCATGTACAGTTCTTCTTGTCTATCCGTAAAATCGTCGGTAAGGAAGCACCATTAGTCCGCACGCAACGTGGTCATTTTATGAAAGATCATATTGAATAAGCTTACAATTTTTTTTTTTTTATACTAAAACTTAACTGATTCCGTAATCCCACATACTTATAAATAAAATTAAAATAATATTAGTTAGATTCAATGAATTTCCCAATGGGGCCATGATATCAGTGACGAGCCAGATAATGGATATCGAAGATAAGTCTCATTATTGATGACTAATAACATAATATGAAGTACATATTGTAATTATGATTTTAAAACAATAATTTTACAAAAAAAAAAAAAAAAAAAATTTAAAAATAATATAGTTGTTTTAAACTTCATTAATTGAAGTTAAACATTATAAAACTCATACCTATCAATTATATGTTCTAATTTTTCTACATTCATAACTGCTAGTTGAATTTATTCATAATTTAATATTTTAAACAATTACAGTTCTAAAATGTATTACGCAATGGCCAGAGAATTTTATTCATCGTGTAAGCGCTACGAGTAAGTAGGCATTGTTTTATTAATATATATTTTCTAAGACCTTTCTATCATTCTAATTAATATTCGCTTAAAGTTTATTTTATCTCTTTGTCTCACGCGTACCTTTGGTGATTAAAATTCGGTAATATACAGCGTATTGTTTTCGTTCACGTAAAAACGCGTTGGTTGGTTTATCGCTGCATGAGATTCGTAACACGTAGACGCGAATCCTACAAGAGTGATACAAAGATGCTTTCATGCATCGCTGATTCATTGGTGGCTTTTGCATTTAAAATAGTTTTGTACGGTACGCAAACGCGTCCGTTCGATGTTTAAGGTAGATTTGTAGTGAAATATCAGTAAAACACGTGCGTAAAGATAGACAAAACCGCAACGCGTATGACTACATCATAAACTTAGATTTTTTTTTTTTGCAATACGGTTTGAGGTGCGGTCCGTTGCATTAGACGAGCTCGACGCGTAGAGTTATTGTACAGCTATGGCGACGTGTTGATCTCGGAAATGCTGTGGCATTGCATACAAATACGTAAACGTTTCACTAAGAAAAAAAAATATCACCTCCGTACCGTTAATCCGACTGTTAAAATCGAATTATGTACAGTAAAAATATGTTTTACTAACCGGCCATGGCGCGTGCCGTGAACGAATTAATTTTGTTTTTCATTTCTACATTGGATCACGGTCCACGCGGAAGGTATTATATGTAATACGTACCGACCCGAACAATTTCAAACTTTCTAAACTTTCTAATGACTAATGACAAATTTCGGTTGTAGGTACACCTTGGTGCTTGATGGCCAATATTTTGTCTCGTGCCCGTGTACCTCAATGGTCGCGCGTGATAACTTAGGAAATTTAATCAAACCAGGAATTTCTCCGGTCACGGAAACCGCGCACATATCATTATTATAATAAACGTACGCGGGTGGTTCGGCATGAAATTCGAACGAAAATTTCATCAAAGACATTCTTGGGAGGTCTATCTTGGACCGCGTCATTCGGAACTACTTTTATGCGAAGCAAAACTCTTCATATTTTCCACACAGCGTTCCGTACGTGGTGACAATTGCTCGCGGATGATTTATCATTCTGGCATGCGACCCTTGATGAAGAACACTACAGATCTCGGCGTAGGTAAACCGGATTCCCAAAACTGTCTCGAGTGTTATTGCAGCCTATATGAATTTTACACCAGTAATTTCCAAAGGGTGTGCATTGAAAACCGGAACTTTTCTAAAGGTCCTAATAAATTCTTAAATAGAACAGTGATCATCCAAAGTTTCGTGGAAATAACTACTAATAATTACGTGTCGCGATGGAAAATTTGCACTGCCATACGCTTTTCTTATAGATTTTTAGGTTTTGGACGAACATACATAGCGCACCAGGAAAAGGGGGGGTTGTTCGTTTGTTAACGAATTTCATATGATTTATTCCATTCAACGTGACGCGTACATAACGTCAAATTGCATCAGCCACGAGTAAAATAAATAAAAAATAAATTATTAGCAACTTAGAGTTGCGGAAAACGGAGCTCCAGTAGTCCTATTTTATATGATAATTACCATAAAGACAAAAGAAAACCGTTATGCCGTCGTAATGGCGTCTTTACGTATTTATTTTATATTTGTTTCGAACAAAACAACTGCAATCCCATAATAACAATAATATTAATATATCGAATCGATGGTGGCGGTGGTGGTATACCATGTAACATTATATCATCGAATGTATATATATAAATTGTCTCCGGACCAAAATCTCGTTTTCACCACACCTGGAATATTACGTTTCGTTCGGTACTTTGTAATATTGTTTTTATTGTTCTATTCATTTACGCCTCGGCTATTGACCGTTATTGATAATGATTTACTGTAGATACTATTTAATTATAACATTTTAGGCGATAAATGCTCATGTTTATTGTACGGGATCAAAACATCGTCATTCTAATGATATCTAAATACCGTTTCGATGGTAAACGTAAAAAAATTCATAAAAAAATAAAATCGCGTGAAATAAAACAATTTTACTTTATCTATTTCTGACCCCCTACCTTCCCAATAAATAATTGCCGAAACAAATTTCATTATTTTTAACGAGTATACTACGCAATCAAATAACACACACAAAATCAACTCTCGATACATATCGACATTTTTGATCTAAAGGCAACAAATCTGCACTTACTACAATACGTCCATCAAAACGATTATTTTTACATTCATGCTTATTGCATTTATTTGTTAGTCTACAGTAGACACAATATTAAAGAATTCGTACTAGCTATACAATGTAAACTGTAACAGCATGTTACCACTGACCTAAATTAATATTTTTAAAAATGGAGTTAAAAAAAAAACAAGTTTTGTGAGTTCTATGAAAATGTGCACATTTTGTTCTTAGGCGTCAATTTTTGGGCGTGTTAACCGTAAGCTGACAAAAAAAATTATATATCAAAGTAGACGACTATTGTATTCCACTGCCATTTGTAGTATTTTATTGTTATTATTACTGTTATCATTAGCGTTATTTCGTTTTATATACAATAAATTATATAAAAATACGTTTCCCGCTCAAAACTATATACATGTATTTGTAAAAAAAATAAAAATAAGAATGCGAACAGCCTCGAGATCTCATTAATATTGTTTCATAATGCGACCTAATCTCCAATATTATGTACGTACATAAGATGATATCAATATATTATATTTATGCAATTATTATGTTGTAACTAACACGACAATACGTTATACTTGTTATAACCATAACTACGCGTTATGTGTGCTCGTGCATTATTATAATTTTTACGTTCGTATGAATCATTTATTTGATGTACTATTGTAATGATATATAATTTATACTTATCTATATAGGTATATAAATATATACAAGTACGTGTTTAAATTAAGTATAGAAATTAGACGATAGAGAAGAAATAAAACAAATATTTTGTTAAGTTAACATTAACTTACTAGACGAAAGTCGTCCCGTAGAGTGCGGTCACTGTTATATAGTCGACGACATTTCGTTATTGTTATTGTTGTATGCACACGCGTAAGTACTTATTATACATTATTATTATAATAAATATTTTAAGTTATACCTGTTATAATTTATTAGAAAAAAAAACCTCCCATGTATATTATGTAGTGCGTGAAAGTTGTTGCAACGGAAACGCGCCGCGTTCGTCATTAATGCTCTCCCCCACCCCATTCGTCCTTTCGCGCAGTCGATAAGTATCAGCCGACCGGTAGAAACAAAATAATATAACATTTGACCGTAACAATAATGTAATAACAATTACAATATATTTACATACATACATGTATACATACGCGTGTACGACTTGCTGTTATTTTCCGGCCCGATCTATGTACCATTTTCGATTCCCTCCGCATTTTATGTCCGCGCACGTGTACATGATAATATAGTGAATGTCTTGCGGCAACAGCTCTCAAACTATATTCCGCGAAAGACATAATCCAAGGGTAATAATTCAATTATTAGTTCGATTCTTACGTTTATAATGATTGTACAATATTATTATTTGGGCTGTTTGAAAACCACCTAGAGCAATGCTTCTTAAACTGTAGGCCTTTGTATAATATGGGAAGAGGGAAGAAACGTGACATATTAGCTTATATAATTATTTAATATTAGTGTATGGTTAAGAACGAAAATCTCCTATTTTTTTTAACGATTTTGATGGAAAAAAATGTTTACGCTTTAGACCTTAGAGACCGTACCATTTTTTATTAAATTAAGGGGATTAGAATTGCATTAGGAAAAAGTTCGAGAATTACTGATTAAAATTATGAATGGTGTTGATAATATTAAAAAACTAATACATACAAAAAAAAAAACCAATTAAAAAGTAGAAAATTATCAAATACTATAATTTGTAGCTGAACACAATTGCCATTCCTGAGTTTTGGAGTTTTATAATTGTTCGTAGGATCTCCGCGAGCAAAAAAAGTTTGATAACCGTTGTCTCACGACCACGTGGTCAATTTTGAAACGCTGTAGGCAATAA